GTGTGCGGCTGCCATGTAGGTGGGGAACAACGTGTTCCTTCAATAGTGGGCTGTTAAACGCATTACCGCTTTTTGATCCCATTCTGTTTGTTTTCCTAGCTAATGCCATGTGGTTCTCATACTATTGCCCTCAGCTATGGTTGGAAGTGTCCCACTTCCCCAAAGAACACAGATATTTATAACTTGGCACTCTGTAGTCACACTGAGTCACTACACTACTAGTCTGACACCCTGGTCAGAACGGATCCCCGATCTAGATATTTACCGACCTCTATTATAACTTATATAAAGGGAGGGGGGCTGTTGTAGAATTCCTTCAGAGGCATCCTGGTCCTAGAATCGAGGCTAAAGTTCTACAGTAATATTATGTAAAATTTACATATTTTACAAATTTTAAACCCTATACATTTCAAATTGTGCACTTGCAGACGTACGTACGGATTACTATACCTAATTTACTTCACATGTTGCGTGTTTTGGCCCTGAAGCCGAGGAACTGGCTTGCAGAGACCCTGGAAACAGTCTGGAACCCAGACTAACCCAGACTAATATTGTCGCTGGCTACCGGTATACCACATGGTAGAGACAGCCGCAAATAACCGGCCGTAAACAAAAAGAGTAAACCTAACCGCAGGCTACCTACCTCTAGCCTGGCATAGACGGGGTATGTACATTATCAGAAAATTAATCAGTTTAAAATCTGTATAAAGTTAAAGAAACTTGATGTACCTCTACATGATTTTCTACCAGTATACTCCAGTATGAAGGATAACACCCGACCACCATGAATAAATCATGTTGGAAATTTCATAAATATATCCTACTCACCTTAGCCAAGCGTCTTTGCTTCCAAACATCCTCGATGGTTCCCAAACCGTCTCCGTCACTAAGTTCACCAACGCAACTTTTCCATCCTCCTTCCAAATCCACCACTGTCCTGTATCCGATATCATGACAACTTCCGGGGCACCCGACATGATCCCTTGCGTTTCTCCTCGCTTTCTCCGCAGAATTTTACACTACAACTATATTCAGGCTGATGTAGGGTCGAAAACGCATTGACGACGATTAAATCTTCACTAAAACCACGAATAAGTACGACGAAACAAGAAAGCAACAATAGTTGGCAACTTGAACGGACGAGAGCGTTGATAAACAGTGTGCCGTTGAAGCCGTTACCCTCACGCTCTGACTCTGAACTAATTCGGACCAGGCCTGGACCAGGCTGGGGGAAGGGCACGGGACGCTCGTATTACCTTCTCAAACCAAACCAGGGGACAGCATTCCCCCGGTCCCTCAGAGACCAGAGCGCCTGACTGAGAGACCGTGGCTGTTTATTTGTGTACCGAGCTGACTGGTAACGGTCGTTTTTTCACCAGATAAAAACTCGCGCAGTCACTAACATGTTTCTAGTCTTTTATCTACTCGGGTGTATGGCAAGTTTTGTTCACTATCGTACACCGACGGGGCCCAAGTTCGACATCTTGGAAAACCACGCGTCTTGGATGAAACTGTATGAAGAGTCAAACCTCAAATTATGTAGCCGGGATACCGAAGAGACTCTACAAGAATGGGAAGGAGGTACGTTATATCTCGTTTTCACATAATGTACGATTTCAGCTCACGATTTGTACACTTCCGCCGTTAGAACCTTTTTTGTAATACCAGACATGTGGTAGCGCATGGATGAGATTTCAGTGTGTCCTGCAAGGGGGTGGGGGTGTGAACTTATAATATGTAGTAGGCATTCGATTCTTCCGTGTGAATAACCGATTTTTATATTTTGGCCTGGTAATAGGTACACCGTGAGAGTTTAGCAGGTTGTTGCCGGTGGTAGTATCCACGCACACACACCCGTATGGAGGGACCCCTCCCTCGCTGCCTGAAGGAAGAAGTCGGGTAAGTAGAATGCATTTGTGATCACCTCACTCTCAGCCTCTAACTGTAAACTACGAAAGACCATAGGAACAAAACGTAAAACAGACGACAAGCTTAAACAGACTACGAGCTTAAACAGACGACGAGCTTAAACAGACGACGAGCTTGCTTAAACAGACAACGGGCTGGCTGAAACAGACGACGAGCTTGACTGAAACAGACGACGAGCTAATACACAGACGACGAGCTTGCTGAAACAGACGACGAGCTTGCTGAAACAGACGACGAGCTTGACTGAAACAGACGACGAGCTGAAACAGACAACGAGCTAGCTGAAACAGACGACGAGCTGAAACAGACGACGAGCTAAAACAGACGACGAGCTGAAACAGACGACGCGCTTGCTGAAACAGACGACGAGCTGGCTGAAACAGACGACGAGCTGAAACAGACGACGAGCTGGCTGAAACAGCGAAGGAGCGACGCTCCCGCTCCAAGGCTGGAAACCCTGGCTCCTTGTATAGTGTACGGTCCCTTCTGAGTGACACCAGATGCTGTCTATGGCCCTGTTCAGATTGAATCAGTGAAAGCGCCTTACATGTGTTGATGATATGAATGTTAGACATCCAGGTAAACAATACTCATAGGAAATTCAAACTCCTACTACTGGATAAGTTATGGAGATAATATCCGGGCGTTTCCAAGTGACATTCACCACTCTTCTTCAGCGTCACTAATGAACTAACGTTAACTTTGTTAATTGATTTGTTTCTTGCAAATTCATGCCCGAGGGCTAATCGCATACAGACATTGACAATAAAAATGTGGTGATATAAGACTATTTGCTAACATGAACTTCTACGTGTACGATATACTTATCGAACCTACTACATGTATCTCTACTTAAATCTAATAACGTTGGCATACATACAGGCTAAAAAAAAAGTAAATATGCAATATGAGAACAGGTAATAGGAACAAGGTAACTGCTATTCTAATCCGTTCTATTCTATTAAACTATTCTTGTCATGCTATTAGGGGGTTTGACTTCTTCTCAGGAAGCAGTGGGAGATGAATTGTCCGACTCTTTAAAAAATAAAAGGGTTGGGAGTGAACAGAAGACGATAAAGCACAATTGAGCTACTCCCCACTTCTAAACAGCCGTCACCATCTTCCTGCTATAAAACCCATCAGGGGTCGTTCGGTTTATAGCACCTTCGGGGTGCCCATCAAAGAATGACACTCTTTTATCTGTCAGATTATAACAGTTTTCACATCGAGTTGAAAAATGTGCTTGCCTGCCTGGCTGTCTGTTTACTGTACTGCTCGTAATGAACTGAACAATTTCGCCTTTCTGACTTTCCACCTCCATGCTTTCTACAACTTTCCACCACACAATAAGTTAGTTGCTGACATTTTGCCATCCTTCCACCTTGTATTAATTAGTATGTGTAGGTTTGTTGTGTGTGTACGTGCGCTCGCGCCTTATTGGTCAAGTACTGATGACGTAAGAGGTAATGCTTTCAAAAACTTGTGACCAACGACAGCGTGGTCACAAGTGTATTCATTAGTGACGCTGAAGAAGAGTGGTGAATGTCACTTGGAAACGCCCGGATATTATCTCCATAACTTATCCAGTAGTAGGAGTTTGAATTTCCTATGAGTATTGTTTACCTGGATGTCTAACATTCATATCATCAACACATGTAAGGCGCTTTCACTGATTCAATCTGAACAGGGCCATAGACAGCATCTGGTGTCACTCAGAAGGGACCGTACACTATACAAGGAGCCAGGGTTTCCAGCCTTGGAGCGGGAGCGTCGCTCCTTCGCTGTTTCAGCCAGCTCGTCGTCTGTTTCAGCTCGTCGTCTGTTTCAGCCAGCTCGTCGTCTGTTTCAGCAAGCTCGTCGTCTGATTAAGCTCGTCGTCTGTTTTAGCTCGTCGTCTGTTTCAGCTCGTCGTCTGTTTCAGCTAGCTCGTTGTCTGTTTAAGCTCGTCGTCTGTTTCAGCAAGCTCGTCGTCTGTTTCAGCAAGCTCGTCGTCTGTGTATCAGCTCGTCGTCTGTTTCAGCAAGCTCGTCGTCTGTTTCAGCCAGCCCGTTGTCTGTTTAAGCAAGCTCGTCGTCTGTTTAAGCTCGTCGTCTGTTTAAGCTCGTAGTCTGTTAAAGCTTGTCGTCTGTTTTACGTTTTGTTCCTATGGTCTTTCGTAGTAAACAGGTAATCAATCTCCTAGTAGGGTCGTGAATTGTATTAGATCAATACGTCAAATTGTATATTAGATCAATATATACTGCCACTCAGATCTTTGGGTGTCAGCATACTGCAGGCAAACTGGATACTGCTTGGAAAGTTTGAAACTGTATTTCAGCCACCCAAATATCTGCTTGGAGATAAGTATTAGATTACATGTGAGATAGCGGCCTTGGGAGCTTCGCGGTGCCTTCCTCTTGTTGTTGAGAGGCGACTACTAGTAGACAGACGTCGCTAATTTTGCTTTGGGATTGAAAAAACGGCTCCCTCCTAGACTTCAGACTCAGAGTTTGACATCACAAAGCTAATTGCACGTTCCCTTATTTAAAAAGAGAAACAAAAATGTTGTGTGCAACCAAAATAATATTTTTACTTTCTAACATGTGCGATTCAGGTCACCTCACTAGTTGAATTTGTCTTCCTGTGGGGAAGAGCTGATAAACTGGATACTGCTTGGAAAGTTTGAAACTGTATTCCAGCCACCCAAATATCTGCTTGGAGATTAGTATTAGATTACATGTGAGATAGCGGCATTGGGAGCTCCGCGGTGCCTTCTTCTTGTGTCTCTTGTTGAGAGGCGGCGACAAAATGGGTCATCTGGTTTCCATCTTTTCTCTGTGTATCAAACATGTAATTTTCTAGAGGGGCCCTGGTAGATTTGTCTTAGCAGATAGAAGAAAGTGTTGACAAAACAACTTTCACTAAATTCGAAGTGTGGGGTCCCCGGAGCTTGGGTTTCACAGGCTCGATTAAATTTAGTAACTGATAGCAATGGCCTATGGAATCTGTAGTTTTGCCACCGTAGGATCTGCTTGGAGACTATAAAACACCCCCATGATGTCTACTAGTATGGAGATTTCAGGGCAGAGATAAGAGGAAAACTACTGAGTGTTCAGGAGTGAGGATTGGGTTATCTTTGCGACTCAACCGTGACGGGGAGAGGTCAGTGATAAACACACGACATGAAGTCCTGGAGGTCCTGTAGGGACAACCGTAAACACAGTCCTAACATTTATCTCGGAGAAAACTGTTTCTTGAATTCACAGTCTCATCTGCATGTTGAAGGGGATATGTACTGTACATAAATGGGGCCTGACCTATATATATATATATATATTTAACGGACTGCCAGAAATATCTGGTGTGGTGTGGGTGGGGGGGTGGGGGCTCTGTCTCTGGTATATCATGCCAGAGCTGACCTATGGCCTTGGATATAGTCCGGGATACAAGGTTACGGCCTAGTCAGCTTTTTAAGTACCGGGTGTCTCATCCAGAGATGTGCGAAATGCGATCCACACTTCAAATTTAGTGAAAGTTGTTTTGTCAACACTTTCTTCTATCTGCTAAGACAAATCTACCAGGGCCCCTCTAGAAAATTACATGTTTGATACACAGAGAAAAGATGGAAACCAGATGACCCATTTTGTCGCCGCCTCTCAACAAGAGACACAAGAAGAAGGCACCGCGGAGCTCCCAATGCCGCTATCTCACATGTAATCTAATACTAATCTCCAAGCAGATATTTGGGTAGCTGGAATACAGTTTCAAACTTTCCAAGCCGTATCCAGTTTATCAGCTCTCCCCAACAGGAAGACAAATTCAACTAGTGAGGTGACCAGAATCGCACATGTTAGAAAGTAAAAATATTATTTTGGTTGCACACAACAATTTGTTTCTCTTTTTAAATAAGGGAACGTGCAATTAGCTTTTCGAGGTCAAACCCTGAGTCTGAAGTCTAGGAGGGAGCCGTTTTTTCAATCCCAAAGCAAAATTAGCGACGTCCGTCTAGCCTCCAGCAGGCTTTCTACGGGGGTACTGATCGTAGAATTTGTGAAAAAGAAAGAAGTAAATTGTGTGCCAGGAGAGTCAGTCCACGGGAGGGTGAATTTCCCCCTTCTGAATGGCAAATAAACTCTACGGTGGCTAAACCCCTCTAGTCAATTATTCTCCCTTTTGGCTAAATTTTACTTTATTCGAACCCGCGTTGTTACGAGTATGGCTGTACACTATGTCGGGCCTGTTGAATCTACTTATTCAGGGGTATTCTGCAAGCAAAAAGGCGAAATGGTTAAGTTTAAAACTCCCTGATGTCAGGGTCATTATGCAGATTTCAAGCTCACCTCACCAATCCAATATACAGTGACTGTATGGGAGCTTGTAAACGCTTTCATGACCTTGCATTCCCCATATCTGCTTGAAGCTTTTCGCCGGCTCGCTTTTCGCCGGCTTCCTAGTTAAACTTGGGAGCTTTTCGCCGGCTCGCTTTTCGCCGGCTTCCTAGTTAAACTTGGGAGCTTTTCGCCGGCTCGCTTTTCGCCGGCTCCCTAGTTAAACTTGGAGCTTGGGTTTCACAGGCTACCCTGACTACCAACCAACCAAGTGTCTTTGACGCCCCGAGTTTCTGTATCTGTACATGTATAGCCGGTATAACCGCCTTTCGGCGTAACACACCAGCTTCTGTATCTGTATAGCCGGTATAACCGCCTTTCGGCGTAACACACCAGCTTCTCAGACACGCGGCGCGGCGGCAGCTGACTATATTAAACCGATTGACTTGTTACACCTAACCCTTGAACTTCTAGCTCAAGACTAATTGTTTAAAGCTATCTAATGATAATGCCCCTACTGTATACTTGGTGACATCGAGTTCCACTCTGCAATAGTTGTAGGAAAGAATGAATTCTTGAACACCTCAATCCTTGGTTGATACATATACATAACTCTGGTACATCAAGGCATGACTATTAAGTGACGTTTCATGATATTAAAGTGGCCTTGTCGCCATCCGTTTTGTAACGCCTTACACTATATATAGCTAGTTACAGGCTGGTTGGGGGTCCCTTGCACTTGGGGAGTTCCGTTACACAAGGAATAGCATCCATATTAACTCTCCAATCAGATCATACCGTGGCAATGGCAGTATCCATTATCTTGGGCTACCACCGCATGATCTGCTTGGAGATCCAGGCTACAAGGGCTGGTGAAAACCGCAGAGGGACTCAGAACTAGGACAGATGAAACCATGCGTATATCTCTCAGCGGGTAGCTTCCTCATGCTATGGTCACATCCCAAACCGGTTTCCGGTCCAGCGGTTCTCGGGAACGAGAATAAAGTATGTTATGAAAGACGACAAGACCGACAGAGTGTTGAAAACTATGCATATTTTGTGCGTATTTTTGTGATGCGCGTTTTTATGTTTCGTTTATGCAACACTCCATGTTAAAAACCATGTTTTAACATGGCTAAAAGTCAATGCAACACTCTGCGTCTGAGCTTGGGCGGGGTCGGGATTTTGGTCAGGGCTAGGCAAGCCTTGGCCATACAAGACCACTACCTCCCCTCCTACCACCCCCCCCCCCCACTGTCCCCAAGTTCGTAGTTTCCCTGTCCCTTCCCCAGTGGGAGGGCGCGACTCTGTGGGGCATGGGACGCCATAGACCGGGTGGATCGAGAGAGCAGTTACAGCTACAGCTATCTAGAATAGGATCCGGCTTGATGTGGGCGTCTTTTCCCAGTTTTATCACATCTAAATTCTTCTTTTTTTTTGTCAGATTTTCTTCCCGCTCTGTAAACTAAGCTGGTAGGAATTTTAGCCACCCTAGGATCTGCTAAAGGATTAAATTCACTTGTCAAAACACCACTTATCCCTGCCAGGGCTAGACCCGGTTCTCACACGGACAAAATGATCGACTGTGTTTAAGATCATGCTAGAGTGAGTCAGAAGTGACTTTATAGAGAATCCGGAGTTTCGCAATCAGCCTGTTCTTGGCTAAGACATAGATAAACACATCACCGTGGATTTTACCTTACATAAGGGAGGAATTTTACGGTAAAAACCTTCATTCTTTCATGACCTCTGACCGCCCATAAGACTGACGACGGTGATTAGGGTATGTCATAATTGTAATTTGTATGAAAATAAGGTGAGATGAATGGTAGACGGCCCCGACTCGAGCTCTAATATATGATATGAATCTTTATTGCATGTTCTTGCCCAGATGGGCTAAATGCATAAGAGGTCATGCAGTATGCAAAGCATGAGTATTGCATATATATGTATATAAATTATAAACTGTGTCTGCAAATAGAACGGTACCACCCAAGAGCTCAAATACAACAGTATACAGGTATATAGTACATGTAATCTCCAAGCAGATTCGGAGGGGCAAGGGGACTTTATGTTGGCCGCATGTATCCATTGGCCGCCTGAAATATATCCAATGTTCGTCCCGTGGGGCAAACGTTGAATATATTTCAGGCGGCCAACATAATGTCCCCTTGCCCCTTCGAATCTGCTTGGAGATTAAGTACATGAAGATGACAAACAATTCAGGCTGTAGTTGAGTTGACCAGCACGCTGGCTGTAGGGAGAAAACAGTGTTTTATGTACTCTGGGGTGACCAGTGGTCACCACATGGTTTCAGTTGGGAAGCGGGTCGTGACTGTATGGGCCTTTGCGGCTATAAAAAATTGGGCAACGAGTGTAGTTATCGGATTACCAATTACCATGGCTAAACTGTGGTTTTCTGTGGTCTGACTCTCCTGGTCAAATTCTACTCTCCGTAGAATGGTCTGGTAGAGGTAATCGTTAGCCTCTGCCAGGCTTCAGCTAGCGGCTAGAGGCGAGGGTAGAAATCGGCCGAATAGTCCTTGAATATATATATAGACTTTCTACCTTCATGAACAGACAGATGTTATGCCGCTTCCCGATACCTGGTGGTACCTTAGACCTGGTGGTAGATAGTCTATAAAATGGGCTATAAGGTCTATAAAATGTGCCACGGGCCGGGGTGGGACTAATCTCGGATAATGGACACTTTAATTAGCTGACAATCATCTGTTAATGAGCGCTGTACTTAGCGAGTGCCATAAAGAAAAAAAAAGGGGAGCCAGAAAGCGTAACAAAGTGTTACTGTGTTAGAGTCCGTGCTTCGGGATTTAATAGGTGGTTTACAATTTCATTCCTCTACTTAGTTCCTTTTCAAATATGTATGGCAAAACAACATAATTCTGCATGGTTGAAAAGAAATGTAATATGGATCCCACAGACATCCGTTTGCATCCACTAGTATCTGTTACAAGAGTCGCGCCGCGTGCTGGTGTTTTACGCCGAAGGGCGGTTATACCGGCTATACCGATACAGAATACAGAACAAAGTGCATAAATCATCCCCTCGCGTATACGACTGTATCCAAATGAGCTCAGTGTCAGAAGTCTTTAGATCACCATCCACTAATGGAGATCCCAATATTTTAAATAAAACAAACAAACATGGTTGGAGAGTAAGGCTCCCTCAATCCAGACCATTCCAGGGTGTTCTCACTTCTGCGGAAGAATCCCTCCCTTGGCCAACCGGGAGTAATTCAGTCATGTTCTAATTCGTTCCGTTGCGTATATAATGGTGGGCATTGCCTAAATTTAGTCTTCTGCCGAACCAAGTCGACTAATTTTCCGGCCAAATTTTGTATCTGTATAGCCGGTATAACCGCCCTTCAAGCGTAACACCCCAGCTAATTCAAAGGAAGGTGTGATTTGGGCTTTACTTTTTATCACAGAGAACGAAGCATCGCATAGTTCAGCCAGAAGACAAAGATCAGACTGCCTGTAACTCCCCTTACCGTGGATGTCCATCCCTATCTCATGTCAACCAAATTGCGCCGAAAATTGCTTACGCAAAGGTTTTCCCTCCGTGTACACCGGCCCCAATTTTTGTACACAATTTCGGTTAGGGCAGGCGTACGATCAGCGGCTCGCCCAGTGGGCCCGGGAGTCTCCGTGCCTCCCAGTCTCTTATAAAACAGGAATGAACTCCTTTCTTGTTGCAAATTCCAGTCTTTCCCCCGTTTGTACAAGCCACGCAGTGTTCACTTGTTCAATTCTCCGTGTTTCAGTCGTTTTGCTCTCCCTTTGATTCTTTGTTTCAATTGTTTAGAGTTAGTGAGCTTTTTGCTGTTCGCTGGGCATGTCGGAAGGGCGCAACAGCGCGAATTGGAGTATGGAGTTACGACAGGATCAAAAGCAAAATGGAGACTGTTAGAAATAAGGAAGTATACGATGACATTGCGTGAGATATGGAGGCTACAACTAAACTGCAAAACTGGTCAAGTACGTCCATGGCGGCAGGTTATTTGAGGTCACGATAGTGTGGGGCGCAGCGGGAGTTCTCTGGCCCTCCCTGGCGATGTATTAACAGAAACGACGTACGCTCGGATTTTGCCTGTGTGTAAACCA